AGTGCCTCAGGATACTTGTCAACTACTAATCCTCCCTCCTCCTTCCTTCTTTTCCTTCGTCCCTTCTCTCTTCCCTCTTTTTTTCCTTCAGCTGCTGGGCCAGTAGATGCGATGAGAGACTCTGGACCCTCGCAGCGAGAGCATCTCCGGTTCACAAGAGCCCTGTAACCAAAAAAGTGGCGCTCTCAGGAAAAAAACCACCAAGTAATAAACCTCCCTCCTTTTTTCTCTCGCTTTTTATTTTTTTTTGTTTCTTCATGTTAATTTTCTCAAGTAACACTACCTCGTCAACAGGATCCATAGCTTTGATTCCTTGTTCTTTAGCACAGGCAACCAGAGCTGATTCCGTGGCTCTCGGCCAAAGGAGACCATTACATCGCGAAAGTGTCTTTATAGTCTGAATGCTCAGAGAAGTAATAGATGATACAGGTAATAAAAAATAGTTCTAGGAGAATATAGGATTTTAGGCTCCCTAAAAGTCAGTTAATCGATTGAGCAATTTCCATAATAACTTGATATTACCGAGGTAGTCATCACAATACCGCTTTGTAGTGACATTCGTTGACGTTGAAGAAATGGAAAGATGTAGGAGATGATCGGCCTAAATGATATTTGATAAAATTCGGCTCGGGCGATGCTCCTCACAAAAAGATCCGTTACTTTTCTAAAGGCAAAGTCCGCGCTAATCTAAGAGGTGGAGTCAGGCCTATTTCTGTACCCTCCTCATGATGCACCACTGTTTCCGGTGAAAAGGGTCGCACCATCGAGGAAGGCATAACGACAGGCCTAACCCCGCCCGCACGATGAACGAGGACTATGCCTTGAAAGACATAGTTCATTACAGAAATCATCTGCATTTCCTCCTAAACGACCCCTATGATTGCTTCTAAATCGTGGTAGTTCTTATATCACCAGTGGTCAGCTCTTCGTGAAAAACTCCCTGACTTCTGCATGAAGATTCTTCCGAACATAAGCGGCCGCTTGTGGTTGAAGCCACGGACGAGTTTTCGCAGATTTTGTACTGACAAGAAACCCTGTTCATCACCGATATACGTCCACTGAGCAGGTACCTGGAAGGACGAATTTGTGAGAGCAGAAAGGGAATAATTTCTGAGGAAAAACCGAAAAAATTGAACAGAACAGGAAAGGAAAACTAGGAAACGGCCCACGAACCTTTGAAGCCGAATCGACAACGCTTTGAAAGTAACTCCAATAGAACCCGTTCAATTTTGAATCAACAACGATGACATACTGATCTGAAAGTAGGGAAATATAAGCGGGGAGAAAACAAATTTGCTCATTTAGGCTTAAAAACTCGGGCTCAAAGCCACATTACGCGGTACTTGTATATGCCAAAACTCATGACCATTCCTCATGAGAAAGCCCTTCCCCTGACACGAAAAGGAGAATGAGGGACCCAGGAAGGTACGTGATCTAGGGACTCCGCCCCATGAAAATTGTGCAATGTGTTTTTAA